CAGGAGGGAAAAAATAACACCCTTCTCACTCCTCCTGAGGGAGTGTCACTCATGTCCTTGGCTGATGTCCATTAGAGAGATTAACTCAGGCAGTTCAAGGACTAAATAGCACAAAACTGATCTAAAGTCGAAAGGGGGAAAAATTGCCAGAAAAAATTCCAACTCCACTAGCACCTCAGCACAAGGTTCTGAAGCATGGAGAGTATCTCCTGTCCTGCCCCCATGAGAAATCAGCTCTTTGGACGGCTCAGCAGTCAGAGGCTGAAAGCTGGTGATATCCTCCTTACCTGTAAGGTCTAAATTACCCATTCACACATTTCAGGCTACATACCCAGGTTAATGATGCAACTAGGTCAGAATGAGATGCCCACCCAGAGACCCCAGCAGAGCTGCTCATGCACAGACACACGCACAGAGAGGGCATGGCTGGAGTGTCTGGGTGACTCAAAACTCTTTCCTGATCCTAAACAGTGAAAGTATCTTTTTTTAATTAATTCTGTAGAGAAGGTAGTAGGAAGTACACAGGACTGACCTGCATGCACCAGTTTGCCAAAAATGTTAGCAGTAGATGGGTACAAAGACAACTTGCCTGGCAGTTGTCGCCCCAATATCAACTCAGTATTCAAAAAGGACTGAAACTAAAGCTTTAAGGGATCCATAAGGAGGTGAGCAGATCCTAACTCTTCAAAAAGAGCCAAGTGAGCCTAAGGGCTTTGTTTGGACTCCTGCCAATTAGCAAATCTGCTCCAAAGGTATAAGAAATTATTTGTAAACAAACTTTCTGAAAACAAAGGAGGATGCAAAGTAGAAATCAAAATGAGATTCCAGGTCCTAATTGCCCCTTCTCTTACACACCCTGGGACAGCAGGCCTTCCATGCAATAGCTCCCACAGAGAATAATACAGGACAGCAGGAACCAGACACAAGTGTCACCAACATCTCATAGCACACTGCACAAATGAAATGGCTGGATAAAGCACAAGCTATTTCACTGAGGGCAAGCAGGGAGAGTGTCTAATTTAGGCCATTCACAAGGGGAAACCAGTTTCAGGAGCAGTTTGTTACATAGCCCTGAGGGAGCAGTTGATTTCAACTTGGAAACAAAAGTTTGTGTGCTGCTCTCCCTAGGAAGGCAACAAAGAAAAGTTCCCTGCCATGCGCTGACCTCTATAAAAAGTCTGAAAGAGCACGTGTCATTAAATCCAAGACACACTTTTGACAGGGAGCCCTCCTGGGAGACCAGTGGCTGCTCCATTTGCTCCCTCTGGCTTTGCCCCAGGCTGCACAACTACCACTCTACCAGCACAATTACACAGCAGAGTTGGAGATGGAGCGGCGGCATTACTGGTCTGAACAGCCTCAGCACAAAGGTGATCCAGGCTAATCACTTCAGTCCACATCACTGTTCATTCTCCCAAGGTATCAGCCCAGGAGAACCAGGGAAGTGAGGAGAATTCAACACATACCAAGAGAAGAGTGATAGGGCTGGCAAGGCAGGTGAATCAGTTCAGGAATATCACATCCATCTTCTACAAGAATAACAAAAAAACACGTGAATGGGAGCAGGTGTAGGATTACACATTGCAGGACTCTGAACGGCCCTTCAGGCTCCAAAAGAGTACTGGGTGCAACAGCCCACTGGGAGGGCACAAGACAAGGGAAGAGAAAGGTGATCCTGAGAAAATATAAGAGTGGCAATGAAGCATTTTAGGGAGTTAGGCATAAACAATTTATCGACAAGTTACAGACAAACACTTTTAACCAGTTTGGAAATAAAAAATAATAACAACTTGAAAAACAAATTGAAAAATTCTGCTTGGAAAAGGAGCACACAGCATGAGATCACAGGATTCAGCAGACTATAAAATAGGAAATGAGACTTACTCTTCTACCCCTAGAGCTACACAAAACCCTCCTACATAGATTACAGACACACTTGGCAATTGCTTTTCTCCTCCCGCCTCTCCTGTTATGGACAAGGCAGAGTAGGTAGAAGCCTGAATGCAGAGAGGATATTAGATAAAGCATCTTGCAAAGCCAAGTGTGAAATATTAACAACAGGAGGCAACGGGTTGTGTTTTTATGCAAGATCACAAATTTGGTGCTTAGAGCGCCAGTGATGTTCCTGCACACTGGAATCTCGAAGTGCTGCTTGTTGAATGTTTCATTAAAAAAGCTATTGAGGCCTACTGGAAAATTTGTATCAGTTATTTCCTGTATCTTCTCTAACTTCACTGTTTTTGTTCTTTTCCCTTCCTGCAACACTAAGAAATTACGCATGAATAAAAAGGTTGTTCTTTCCATTCATCTGGCAAGTTTTAAAACAATTCATACTCTTAAAGCAAGCACTCTGCAAGCTGTATTTTCACATGAAATTACCACAATTGTGCACATTGCATCCAAATCACCGGATGCATTTGTACACGAAATTACCCAATTTGCAGAGAGAACTGCAATAACCAGGCAGGCAAAATGGACATGCACTGCTCAGCTGAATGGAGCACTGCACCTGAACTGCAGCTGGTCCTGGGCAGGTTTAGTTGGTGAAACAGATATTCCTGGACAGCAAAGAGCTCCTTTTTACCCAGCACATGCAGCACGGACAGCAGCACGGGTGGCTGCCTCTACCCCACCTCAAACTTGCCTCTGGAGGAAACTGCCTCTAATTTCAGCTTCCACAATAGACTCAGACCTTGTTTATCCTGCTGTCCTCGTTGCCCATTAATGCCGACTGTGACGGCAGCAGTGTGGTAAGGACATCTATTCAACACTGGACACCAAGCTCCAGGAATAATCATCTCTGCCACTCTGGAGCAAAACTGACACCTGCTGTCACAATCTTGCATGGAAAAAAAGAATTGCTCCCAATATCCAACACGCAGTCAAGGAGAAACATAAGGAGGGGGAGCTTAGGAGAAGGCACAGGGCTTTTTACCCTCTTTGCAAGGGTCTCGGTAATACAGGAGCAGCAAAGATGAGGGGAAAGAGAAAACACTCAAGAGGTTGAGTTACCTGCATATTTTTTAATTGTATAGCAGCTGAGACTGCAAACTGAACTTCATCTTCAGCAGTTTCCTACTGACTTCTCCACTCATTGTATTTTCCCCCAGGCTCAGGTATCTGTGCTGGTCATTAGGGCAACAGCAGCAAAAAAATTTCTCCTGGGCTCTAGGAAACACCAAAGGAAAGGGAATGCCTGAAAGGCAGATGGGATCACAGTCCCTATGGACATGATCACCAAGATGTTTGTAGACATTTAGCACAGAGTAAACTAAAGCCCAACCCAACCTGGCAGGACAGAGGAGTTCCTCATTTCAAGGCTGTGCAATGAACAAGTGTCTGTCCTCAGAGGCTACCAGAGAGAGAGAGTCAGGCAAGCCTATATTGAAGTGCAGTGACAGGCAAGAGGTATATTTTCAGCTAATAATCAAGCAGTCCCTCATCTGGAGGTACTGGATAGCCTTAGAGTGCCACTCTGTCCTTGCTGGGCTGCAAACAGCCGCAGTGCACCTGGCCAACATTAGCTGTAGCTCTTACATTTATGATTTTATGGCTGATTTTTCCCCCCCTACCCTCTATCGAGTTCACTGTCTGAATGATCACATCTGTTTATGTGCCACAGACACCTGCATATCTTGAGATGACAGCAACTCCCTGAATACTGTAATCAGTTATTTCTCAACAGAGGAATTGCCAATTTGGTAAATAAAGCTCATTATAAAAGAACATGAAAATGTATTACAGTTGCCTAACAGAGAAAATTGCCCAGTGCGGCCAAATAATCAGCCCTGGCATCACAGTCCCCCCCAATTTAGGGCAGCAGAAATAATGACATGCAAATTACTCATGCCAAGGCAATGCTGGATAGGGGCAAGAGGAAAATGAGGAGGAGACAAAATAGGTATTTTTCTCTTCAGACCAACAATAATTTCAAACCTAGTCATGGATAGACCTTGCTGCTCTAAATCTCTGCATGCAGAGTCACAAGTTCTGTGGCTCTGTAGAACCTGGTTATCCAAAGCAGATCCAAAAGCTGGCATGGCAGCAGCAGCAAAAGCCCACCCAGTCCTGCTAAAACAAATTTGAGGGCACTAAATATCCTACTTTGGTTTGGAAAAACTTGCCCTTCCTTCCATGGGGACGGCAAGGTTGACCTACACAATGATGAAAACCTGGAATTTTTGCAAGACCTGAGACTAACAGAGATGAGCCATGGGTAAGCAAACATCACTTCTGAGGAGGAAAAGGGTTGTGGCATCAGCTCTCTACAAGGAAAAGCATTTTGTTACCTTAATGAAGATGTAAAGCACTAAGTTGCTGTCTAAAGAAAAAAAGAGATGAAGCACAATATAACACAGAAAACAATTCTCAGCCCCCTTCATCCATTTTCATAAACACTGCATTAAACTCTGACATGACCTCCAAAAATCCATGTTCGCATTCTTCAGAAACTGTCAGACACAGTCAGAAAGGACAGAGGCAGCTAATGTTGCCAGAGAAGAGGAATCAAGTTACCAAGCTAGACCTGCTCCCCTGGTTTGCTGATAGGCCTTTTGCAAACCTTGCCACACTTACCGCTTGGAGAATCAGATTCCAGGTGCATCCAGCCTCCTTCATCCCTCACTGGGCAAGGAGGGGGCTCAACACAGAGTACAAGCCTGAAAGGGACAGTGGTTTGTAGCAGACCAAGCAGGAACTGCAAACAAGAGCTGGTGAAGAGAAAGGTAACTTGGGCTCTGCATTCAACAGGCAAAGGTTTTTTCAGCATGATTCCCCAAAACCAGTCCCCTCCAGCCAGGACTTTGCACTCTTCCAAATACTTTCAAATCAGCCAAAGTCATTCAGCACGGGACCAAAATGAACAAGTTTTGCGATTTATAAAGTGTGACTTGAAATATTTCTATTCCTCACACTTGTTTGGAGTTTTTGTTGGCATGGGCAGTAGGCAGAAAACAGTGATTTACAAACTCATGGGACTAAAAGTATCTCACAGCACACAGTGACCATTAAACACTTTATTGTTTAGGAGGGAACCCTGGAAGGGAAGGAACACGCCTGCTGGTGTGACCAATGGGAGCATGATAGGAACAGTTAATCCTAACAAGCTAGTCAGGGTTACTTCCAAATACTTTGGACTCTTTTCCCCAGAGCAAACAGACAGGTAACAGCTCTTGAAACTCAGATGTAGGTTGGTGAAACCAAAACTAGAACAGGGTGAATCAGGTTCATGTCAGGCAAGACCCCAAGCTACAGGCTGTACTGGAAGCCCCTGGGGTCAACACGATTCTTTACATTGGAAAACAATAAAAAGAAACTATGGCATCTCCCTCTCCTGGGACTCTTCTCCCAACTCCAGGAACGTCCACAGTGAGACTCATACATGCAGGCAATTACAAGAGGAATCATGTTGCTGTCTTGGATCATGAAGGGCAGAAGGCACCGGTTTTTGGTCAGTGTCTGTCCAGAAGGATGCTGGGGTTTCCAAGGGCATCTGTGGTCCCTGTCCTCTGCTCTTTGGCGGCTGACGTTTATCCAGAATTAACTAACAGCTCCTGGAGAAAAAAGGAGACAAAAGAAAGAGGCAGCAAGCTAGTTATGCAGCTGTTGACACTGGAATGTTCCCCTCAGAAGGGAAAGGTAGCGTTGGCAGGGTGAAAATCCCACAGAAAAATCATCAGGTTTCATCTGCTGTAAAATGCAGGACACTCAAGGGGAGAGGATTGTAGAAGCAAGAAAGCAGCTCATGATTTCAAAGGTGAGACTGATTCTGTGAACAAGAATATACAGTCAGTTGCAACACTTAGGATTCTAAAACCAGTGGCCAACAGCAGGAGAGAACAGCCACGGTTCCAGGTAAGCCTCAGAGCAGCCAGGTTGCAGGAATAAGTGTATAAGTGTAGCTCCACACTAAGTCCTGCCCAGCAGGACACAGGAGCACTTTGATTAGCTGCCATCAAACATGCACACAGCACTCACTCATCCTGGAATAGGATCAACATAAGAGCGAGCACTAGAGAGGGGAGAAGAAGAAAGATGGGGACTCAGAGACTGCCCTAACTCCTCACATGTCTGACAGCCTTTATCCTATTAAGACCCAAGCCCTCCTAAAATTCAAAGCAAAATCATGTCTGCTTTGTCCCCCCAGAAATCTCCTAAGTGACACCTCTTCAGACCCTGGAGGTCTCTGCGTGTGAGCTGTGAACTTCTGAGGGGCAGAAAAAAACAGGAGGCTTTCAATATTTTTAGGATGGAGATTGCAAAGCCTGCTGTGGGCTCTTCCTGTTTTTATCTTATCATTTCCACAAAGTCAAAGAAATAAAATCAACAATGCCACCAGCAGTGGATGAGAACACACCAGCTACAACACCTCTCCCTCTGAAAAATCTGATATATCCTCAGTTGGGTCCTACTTCAAAACTTGGGTAATCAGCTCTCCCACACCAGCAGTGGCATCGCTCTGTCAGTGAACTCTTGCTACACAGAAACACAGAGGGTGAGCCCAGCAACGTGCTGCTTTTTTCTCATGCTCTGGATATGTGCAGGTCCATCTGCAGAGCAGACAGTACTGATCCGTGCTTACAGGACCCAGCAAATGCTGACTAGAGAAAGGCAACAGATCAGTTCACTGCATGTGGTCTCGCCACCCCTTTTTCACTAGGGCTGTAACAGAGCTCAGTTCTACTCTCCAGACATTTGCCTTTCTGAGGAGAAAAGCTGTGCTTTCTTCATTGCAAATCAGAATGGGGAACATCATAAAATAATGGTGCTGGCACACTTGGTGTGTCAGAGGGTGAGCACGTAATTTGGGCTATTTCTGCATAGTAGGCTGATATCAACTGATACATGGCCAATGTAGACCGAATGTGCTGGCCTTACATCTCCAAAGACAGCCTCATCTCTGACAAAAATGAACTGGAAAAGCTTCAAAGGACTCAAGAATAAAGACAAAATTGTTTGCCAAATTATTTAGACAAAGGTTAACCAGAAATCTGACAAATGAACCATCAATATTACTCCACTGACTCTAATTTCCCAGGTAATTTTTCTCATCATTAGTGGTTTAGAAGTTATGCACAGAGCAATACATTTTAAAAACTCCAATAGCACTCACAGAAATTGTAATGAGTGAAGCAGTAACAACTCACGATCAATTTTGCAATAAAGTAATTTGTTATATTCACACTGTAACACTTCAGTGAAGTATCTAGGAATGCTACATTTTGTGAAAATAAAAAAAAAAAAACAAAGCTACACTGCTGTGGCCACTCTGTGGTTAACCCTTATGGAAGACAGCAAAACGTTTTTTTTGAAAGCAATTTTAAAGAATATCATAGTTATGCAATTTCACGTTCAAAATCATAACTACATATTTCAACCTGGTCTAGTGGAAGGTGTCTCTGCCCATGGCAGGGGGGTTGGAATTAGATGATCTTTAGTGTCCCTTCCAATCAAAGCCATTTTATGATACTATGATATTTTTAATTTCAGAAGAAAATGCAAACAGCCAGCTCTTAACCTCAATCAATTCCTTTCAGCCTAACCTACCCACATACCAGAGATGCACTGAGCTGGAGGCTCACAAACATTCCTTGTGCAAAAACATCAGGTTCCATCTTGCTCTGGATGGCTAAACTTCCTCAAAATCTTTTGCACAGGGAGCACTGGACCCAGAACTGATGGGCTGCCAGGCAGGCCAGACACCAATTTCCTGCAGTGCAGCTCTCGCCAAGGGAAGCTTCCGTGAACAGAGGATGCAGGTAATGACACCGTCAATCAGCCCACACTGCTCCCAATAGAGGCCTGAGACAATTACATCTAAGAGCAGCCTGTGCTGGATGGAGCAACTAATTAATGCCCTCTCCCACATCAGGGACACGAACTGCTCATGATGGTTATAGAGTTGGCATTTTTGGGGAATTGAAGGACTCCCAGTACACAAAAACCTGCGCAGAGGGACAACTTTCCCGGCTGTTTCAGACATTCCTGCTCAGATGCCAATCCAGATCTGGCATCATCTGCCCCACCAGTGCAGGTCTCTTCTATCCTGAACCCTCTAACATGGCTAAGGTTGAACTGACCATGAAAGTGAGACCAGAGTTGGTCGCTGTGAATCTGTTCACCTCTGGATTCCCTGCAGCACATGCCATACAGCACAGAGCCCATTAACAGTGAACAGCTCTGGGGGTCTCCTGACAGCTCCTGCAGTGTCACACACCCACTGCATGCTGCACAGTGGAAGCCCTGTAGGCCCTGAGGTCTGCTAGCCCATCATGTCTACACTAGTCAGAATACACACAGAATTGTTCCTAGGCCATCAGTTTATAAACCTATGGTTAACTACTTCACAGCACACAGTTCTGTGCCTCAGATGCTGTGCAGCAGCATGGAAGGACACTGTATCTCCAAGACTAAACCCTCTCTTTGCTAAGCTAACTATTTGTCCTCACATTTTAATTCCACCTAGCACTGCAACCATGCCAATGCAGATTTGGCGCTTCTTCATTTTTTTTCCAACCTGGAACCCTCCCTGTAAGTTGCTACCAGGCTAGTACAACACTTAGCTTGAGCAGTAGGAGCCAGGAAAGGGAAGGACAAACCTTACCTCTCCTCCATGCCCTCATCATTGCATATGCACCAGGCAAGTCTCATATACAACAAATCCAGGCAGTTTGAGTCACGAGCTAAGCTGTTCTCACATGACAGGATACTTCCAACAAATGGAGCTGAGGCTCAGCCTGAAAAAGTTTGGTGACTCCTCACAAAATAACTGCCCCACAGTTGGCATTAGCTGGTCTCTGCTGTAGTCTTAGCAGAGCAAGTCAGGAGACATCAGCCTTGGAGAGTGCAGTGCACACTCACTCTAACAGGAGGGGACAGTGCCCTTCTTGCATGAGGAGGGCAGGCTATTTTTAATGCCACTACCAATGGAATGCAGGTAGACATCAGGTTCCAGTCTTGATGGGCTCCAGACCAGCACCTCTGCATGTGAGTGCAGTATCCATACCAAGGCAAATTCCTCAGTAGCACAAACAGGAATAGGAATCTGTTCAGTCATGACAGCAAGTCCGGCTGGGGGGCACGCAGCATTTGTTTTCTGCCATGCCTCTCCTGGCAAACGGGACCTTGAGCCACTAACTCATGCTCTTCCACCACTGTGAGACCCTGCTCAGGAGCTAACAGTGGTCAAAATTGACTGGCTGCTCAGCTGACACAGCCTGCCATTTTGCAGCCCCTGTGGGGAAGCCAGTAGCTCTCCAGTTCTGGTTCCAGTTGAGTGAGGAGAAAGGGCTGAGCTCTGCAAACAGATTTGCTCCACAAATCTCACCCCTGCTGAGAAGGGAGTCCAGTAAGTGCCCAACGTGGTCCTTGTCCTCTAACAGAGAGCAAGTTTCAGCAAGATTTTCTAAGGCACTGCTCTCTTGTCTTTTCCCTATTCCTTTTTTCCCAGTCTGCATCCCAGTGCAGAAGCTCAGGGCTGCCTGGGGAGTCCACAGCATCCTTTCTGTCTCCCCCCCAGTCTCTGGCCAGTTCTGTGCCTCGGCTCTCGGTCTTGCTGGAGGCTCACAGCCAGTGGGGGAATCTCCCTCTTGAAAGGCCCAGACCCTGAAGAACTTCCGCCCTCAGTGTTTGCCAGAGATGCTGTTTGCCAAGCCTCAGCTGTGTTAAGACATATTTATTTAACCAGCCTTTAGTCTCACAGGGTAAACCCTGCAAGTTTCCTCCACTGTGTGCCTTACCTTTGTTCTAACATCCCTTTAGGCAGTTGCACCACGGCGCTCACACATATGGGCACTGTATACCTATGAAGAAATCAGAAAGCAGATCCCCATGATAAATGACTCGGTGCATTTGAAGTGTCAGTGACAAAGTAGAAATTAATCTCCATAGTTCCTAGTTCCCTGCTGTGTGCAGGCAGCTCTCAACACCAAAATACCTGTTGGCACACAGCACATCTCAGCAACGTGACCGCACAACTTTTTCATCTCAGTTAGTGTGGAAAGAGGCACTAATGAAATACAAAAATCCTGACCTGTCCTAAGATGGGTGTTCAAGGCCTTTGCACTGGAGGAGGCATTTGTTGTGGGGCTATTAGCTCCCCAAAGCGCTGCAAGGGACATTTGAGTCACTTTGGTTTGATGTATGCTGTAGGTATTTTTTGGTTATGTGCAATTTGTTCTGTTACACTCAGGGTATTGGCTATTTTGTGGAGCAGCTGTGCTGACTAATGGATCACAGCACTTCTGTGCCATATAGTTATTGCACAGAAAAGCCTCTCTGTCTCTCTCATCCTTCAGGAGTCCAACGGTTACTGTCCTTGGGACTGGAATAAAGAGGGGCAGGAGCATGCCTGGCAGCAACAAAAAGCATGAATTCAAAACGCTATGAAGAGAGTTTTGTTTTCTCTCTTCCCTGTACTGGTGTTAATAGATTTGCAAAGCAGAGAAGTTCACCCAATGACTTCTTGGCTACTTCCCCAGATGGTGTCTTCAAAGCTGGTTTGACAGCAGAAAAGATGCCTTTCAAAAAACTCACCAGACGCATTGTCAGAACA